CAAGGAAAGGAGGAACAGCTAGCAGCAAAATTTTGATTAGAAAAGAAGAAAAAGCATCGTAAAGTGGCTATGAGGTTGATGATTTCAAGGGTTTTGGATTTAGAATGGAAGAGGAGAGGAAAAAGTAGAAAAAGGAAAAGAGGAAAGCTTGAAAAGAGAAGATAGAAACAGAAAAACATCCCCAAGATTGAAGAATGAGACAACTTGGTCCCCCAATAAGATCCCCTTTCATATTAGTCATCTCACACCTAAATTAAATAAATAAATTATTCAACATAAGTGTTCAAAATTTGGGGTATTACAATGCTCATCTCAAATTCACTTTGCATAGCTTTGGAAAACTCCTGACAAAAAGAATCATTAGTAGCACTAAACACGATATCATCAACATAGATTTGGACAATTAGTATATCTTAGCCTTTGTTTTTCACAAACAAGGTAGTATCAACTTTTCCCCTAGAAAAACCATTTACAAGCAAAAAAATTACTTAATCTTTCATACATTTGGTAAAGCATAAAACCTTTAAAACATGCGAAGGCCAATAACATTCCAATTGCTTTAAGTCTAGTTGTTGAGGCAAAAGTTTCATCAAAATCAATTCCTTCCACTTGACAATAGCCTTTAGCAACGAGCTTGTCGTGTTTCTAACCACAATACCATTCTCATCTAACTTGTTTCTAAAAGCCCATTTAGTTCCTATGATGGGATGGTCTTTAGGTCTAGAAACAAGATTCCAAACCTTATTTTTAAAAAAATTGAGCTAATTGCTCTTGCATAGCCATCACTCAATTAGGATCATTTAAACTATCATCAAGATTCTTTAGTTCAATTTGAGAGATAAAAGCAATAAAAGCATAAGTATTATGAGCATGAGATCTAGTAGTTAGCCCTTTTGATGGATCCCCAATGATTTCATTATCTTTGACATAGGATATTTTTATAGGGGAAGTTGGTTTTCTGGGCTCATGCATTTGTTACACTTCTTCATTTTTCTCATTTTGAGCTTCCTTGGTGTTGTACTCCTTGAGATTTACCTTTTTTTATTTGTTCTCCAATAGCATCTACATCATTATCATCGCAACACTTTCTAGAGCAAATGGGGTTAGTCTCATCAAATACTACATGAATGGATTCCTCAACAACTTTAGTACGTTTATTATATACATGATAAAATTTACTAGAAGTCGAGTATTCAAGAAAGATGCCTCATCACTTTTAGAATCAATTTTCCAAGTGAATCCTTTCCATTGTTCAAAATAAAGCATTTGCAACCAAAAACTCTAAAGTAGGAAATCTTGGGTTTTCTTCCTTTATAAATCTCATAGGGGGTTTTGTTAAGAATAGGCCTCACTATAAATCTATTTAACAAATAACAAGAGGCTGCAACAGCTTCGGCCGAAAAGAATTTTGGCAAATCATTCTCACAAAGCATAGTCTTTGCCATTTCCTCAATGGTACAATTTTTTTGTTTACCATCCCATTTTTGTTGAGGAGTTCTAGGAGCAAAAAACTTATGATCAATACCATGTTTAATGCAAAAATCTTTAAAATCATTATTTTCAAATTCTCCCCTATGATGACTTCTAATAGAAAAACAGTAGGTAAACCTTTCTCATTTTGAAACTTTTTATAAAGACTTTTGAAAGCATCAAGTGCATCTTTCTTATGTGCAAGAAAAGCAACCCATGTGAATCTAGAATAGTCATCAACCACAACAAGCACATATGATTTCCCTCAAATGCTTAGAATGTGCATAGGTCCAAACAAATCCATATGAATTAACCCAAGAGGTTTGTTTGTAGATATGCACTTCTTAGCCTTAAAGGAAACTCTAGTTTGTTTACTCTTCATGCATGAATCACACACACCATCAATATTCACATTCACCTTAGGCAAGCCATCAACAAGATCATGCTTTAATAACTTAGAGATAACATTCATGCTAGCATGTCCTAATCTTTTATGCCACAACCAAGTATCATTATGAGATATAGAAGCAAGACAAAAATTGGCATCTATGTGATGGGAATCAAGATGACCCCACATGTGCCACGTCAAGAGAGCCATTACACATTCCAGGAGGTCCAGTCATAAGAGCGAGAAGCTTTAAATGTCCTTATTAAGCAGATCTGGGTTGATAACAACATGCAACAAGTAAATCGAAGCTTGGATGATTATCAGGGCATGGTAAACATCATTCAGATTCAAGAGAAGTTTAATTGAGGTCATTTATGCTAAATTACATAGTTTGCGTCAAAATCCCGCAATTCTGTCGCAATTTGTAACAAACTAATATTTCATGTTACTTTAGGTTACTTTAAGTGATTTCACGTTTTTTGTATTATTTTGGGCTGAACATTCATTTATTTGAGGCCCAATTTGTGGTTATTAGGATTAGGGCTTAGGGTGTTAGTTTCATATTCTGATTAGAATTACTTTTCCCTATTTAAAGGGCTTGTAACCCTAATTGGGGGAAGCTATTGAATCTGAGTTTTTGAGAGACTTTTCTCTTTGGTTCGTTTCAGAACTTTACAGAACTTATCAAGATTATTCTTATGACGTTCTAACTTGACTTATCATTCTCATTCTTAATCATTCAAGGGTGTGGTGTCAACCAACATAAGCCTCTGGTTCTTGTTGGGTCATAGACAACAGGTCAAGGTTTTTACCTTTGGTTCTTGTTGCAACATAAACAATGGGTCAAGGTCCTATTATAAACCTGATTTGGCTTTCCTGAAGTTTAGAAATCCCTTGTGCTGTGAGTCTCATTGTTCTCTTTGGGGTTCTCATCATTTTGGTATAAGAGCATCAGATCCCTAAATCAAGTTTGCGTATCTTCTGAATCTGTGTTGTTGGTTTAAAAAAAAAAAAAAGAGAGAGAGAGAGAGACAAAAAGCGCGAAAAAAAAAGAAAGAAAAAAGGTCATACAAAAACAAGGAAGAGGATCGCAAAAAAAAAAAAGAGAGAGAGAAACAAGCAACACAATTCTATGGTTGGAATTCCTTATATAGAGAAGAAATCTATGGCCAAATCCATAAAGAAGAAGGAATCCTACTCCAATAAGGAGTTGGAAATTCTCGTTGAATTGTATTCAAACAAGGAGATAGCAATTTTGTTTATTCCTTCCTAAGTTAGGAATCCTACTGTATTAAGGAATAGTCAAGTCAATTCCTACTACTAATCTGTTCGTTTTAATTGGTTTGGGTTTGGTTCTTTCTGTTTCCTTTAACTCTTGCAGATTTGTTGGAGTTAGATTGCTGCAAAATAACTTGAATTGAACTTGTTTAGTTCAATAATGAACTGAAAAAGGAAAGTTGAATGAGGGAAAAAGGCAAGAGGTGTGAGCAACACTTGAGAGAAAAGCCAAGTTCTACAATGTGTAAAACACAAGTGTTGAGTGCCATTCTGTGAGAGAGAGAGCGGAGTGAAACACGTAAGGGAGTGTTGTGAGGTCCTTTTATTTTTTTGTTTCTAACATTCGTTGCAGGTTTCAATCATGTGAAGCAGTGATGACAAATCAACCACTAGAAGCCACCATGTGGATGAATCCTTCATGCTGAAAGCAATGCAATAACAATTTTAAAGACAAAATGGACAAGCAAGATGCAGTGATAGCCAAGTTATACCAAACACAGAATGGAAGTCCGAATTTGCGTAGGAATGCTGCTAATGACGATTAGAATGACAATTATGAAGATGCACTCAACAATGATGCCCAGAACTCAAATTTCAGCATGGACAGAATTATGAGAGGTAGAGGGTGCCAAAGAGAGCAAAATCTGACGAGGTGGGAAGATCAGCAAGATCGTGACTTAGGTAGCATCAAGATGAAGATTCCTCCGTTTCAAGGCAAAAATGATCCAGATGTGTATTTGGAGTGGGAAAAGAAGGTGGAATTGATGTTTGATTGCCATAACTATTCTGAGGAGAAAAAGGTGAAACTAGCAGCTGTAGAATTTACTGATTACGCTGTGGTGTGGTGGGATCAGCTTGTGCTTAGTCAACGTAGAAATCGAGAGTGTCTTGTTGACACTTGGGAAGAGATGAAAGCTGTGATGAGAAAATGATATGTTCCTAGTCACTACTACCGTGATCTCTATCAGCGATTGCAGGGCCTTACTCAAGGGTCCAAAAGCGTTGAGGATTATCACAAAGAGATGGAAATTGCAATGGTTAGAGTGAATGTAGAAGAGGACGGAGAAGCAACTATGGCACGGTTTCTGCATGGCTTAAATGGTGATATAGCTAATGTGGTAGAGCTGCAGCATTATGTGGAATTAGAAGATATGGTGCATATGGCGATGAAAGTAGAACGGCAACTCAAGCGTAAAGGAGCCACCAGCAGAACTGGGCAAAATTCAGGTTCCTCATCTTCTTGGAAACTGAATTGGAGCAAAAAGGAAGAAAATTCTGCTTTTAAGCCTAAAACTGCAGCATCTAAGTCAAAAGAAGTTGGCAACAATGAGAAGAGCAAAACAGATAATACACAAGGCAGACCCCGAGACATCAAGTGTTTTTGATGCTTGGGAAAGGGGCATGTTGCATCACAATGTCCTAATAAGCACATGATGATCTTGAGAGAAGATGGAGAAATTGAAACCGAGGGTGAATCTGATGATGATTCTATGCCACCATTAGAAGATGCTAATGATTGTGTGGAATATGCTGTTGATGGAGAACTGCTCGTCACCAAGCGAGCTTTGAATGTGCAAGCCAAAGAAGATGATGAAGTACAACGTGACAATATATTTCACACGAGGTTCCATGTCAAAAACAAGGTATGTAGTGTGATTATGGATGGTGGTAGTTGTACTAATGTAGCACTGTTTTAGTTGAAAAGCTTGATTTACCTATGACGAAGCATCTAAGGCCATATAAGCTACAATGGTTAAATGATTGTGGAGAAATTAAGGTAAATAAGCAAGTTCTGGTTTCATTCTCTATTGGACGATATAAGGATGAGGTACTTTGTGACGTTGATGAGAACCCCAAAGAGAACAATGAGACCCACAGCACGACAAGGGATTTCTAAACTCCAGGAAAGCTAAATCAGGTTTATGATAGGACCTTGACCCGTTGTTTATGTCGCAACAAGAACCAAAGGTTAAAACCTTGACCCATTGTCTATGACGCAACAAGAACCAGAGGTAAGGTTGGTTGATGCCACACTCTCGAACGATTAAGAACGAGAATGATAAGTCAAGTTAGAACGCCACAAGAATAATCTTGATAAGTTCTGTAAAGTTCTGAAA